TGACTTTGTCTAAAAAGATGTGAGTTGTGGAAAAAGCTTTTCTTTCAGCTAGGTTGTTTTTATAGAGTTTTTCTACCATGTGAACCCTGTAGTACTTATTAAGATGTGAGGTCCTCTACAGCCTTTTTACAGACTTCATTACTGTGCTGAATCTGTTGCTGAATTCCTTAAGCAGAAAAGCTAATTCCAGGAAGGGCGTAAAGGCACTGTCTTGCTTTGTTAGGTCATCTGACAAGAAGAGGCTGAGAATAGTAACAGTACCATGATGCATTCTTCTGAGCATGGCAAACAGACTGAGAGCTGGAGCATGTGTTACCTGCAGCAGAATACTGAGTCTCACCTAAGCTCAATTTTCCTGTACTAAAGGAAGTTTGGCCGTAGATGTAATATCAGCAACCTGGTAATATGTTATATGGGGATTTTCTGAAAGTGCTGATAAACTACCCCTCTATGAAAGTGATCTAAAGATTTGCAAATGTGTGCTTGTTCTCTTATCAAATATTTTATGCTTTAAGTTATGAATTTATATTGATTTCCATCTATAAAGAAGAAAAACCCATGGCAGCTGACGAGCATATTCAACCCAGAAGGTTTTTGCAGGTCATGAGAGTGAAATCTGTTCTGACAAGCAACAGTACTTTCAGCAGAGTATTTAGAAAAAAAGTGAGCACTGTTGTGCTGCATCATGTGATGTGAAAGATACATGTATTGGAACTGTAGGGATTTGCATATGACCATCTGCAGTGCAAGAAAATGTTAGCCAGTTTTGTGGGATTGGTTTGGCTTTTCTAACTTAGTTCTTCCTAAAGATTCGTTGGTATGGTTTCAAGAGTGTCCTCCTGTGTAGTTTAATTTAAACTTACCTGGGTAATATTATATCATTAAAAAGTTATTTTAGGCTATAGATCACATATTGGTTAAAATAGGGAAAAAAAAAAAATTAAAACAAGTTAGAAAACAAATGAAAGTTTTTGGGAGTGAACAAACATTGGATCAAGGCAGCATTTTCAGTTCATTTTTTAAAACAGGACTGTCAGAGTTTGTCTTCCCATAACAGTTAATCCTTTGCTGGGTATCTCAAACAGAAGAAATGGGGATCAAGGAAATGATACTGAAGTTCTGCCACTCTGTTAGTGGCCCTCACAGTACTACAAACTGCAGTCACTATATATCACATCTGTGGCACAAAGCCAGTTTGGCTATCAACAGGTCCAACTTCAGGGGAGTTTTCATCTATATCAATTTTATCTCCTTCATTTCATCTTGACTTTCATGTTTTAGAACAAATCACTCAAACTTTTGTTTCCTAGGCATTATTTATGATTAAAGGATTGAATTTATTGCAGATTGCAGATTCTGAGATGATACAAGAGGAATTGGAACAGGTGCTAGTTTCTAGAATGAATGGTGGAACTTGACTGAATCCTCTTAACTTCTGACTGCTACCTGCAGCAGATTTTTTTTAAAACTTGATGCATAAACAAAATCGACTGCATTATCTCAGACCAAAAGGATTATACGGCTCAGTGTCCTGCTCAGGCAGCAGCCTATGGAAAACAATGGAGGGAGAGCATTAGGTGATGTTATGCAATGATGGTAATTCCCCAGTATTCTCTGGGACTCAGTGATTTTCTGGCCAGGAGGTGTTATCTTTGTGTATATACGGTTCTAGTGGCTCTTGCTTACATTAGTTTGTATAATTACTTTGAATCCTGTACATTTTTGGTATCCCTAGCTTCCTATAACGTGAAGGCATCCAGTTTAATTACGTGTTAAGAAAAAAAGTACCTCGTTTTATTTGTTTTAACCTGCTCGTTTGATGGCTTCATATTTTTTTTCCAACATCTTACAGTATGAGAAGTAATTGTTCTCCATTTTTCTTCTCCCTGAACCTCATTAATTTAAATATATTTTTCTTACTTCCTTTCAGTTGTCCTTTTTTCCACAATGAAAAGTCCTTATTTATTTAGTCATTCCTCAATATATGTTGTTTCATACCTTTGATAATTTTCTTTGGTAATGTGATGTTTGTTTCGCAATTCTCAATGACTTTCAGTTTTTTGGCTGCAAACTTTTCTCTTTTAAAAAATTTCACTGTTTCCTAGAACATTTCTAAGTGTTTTGAACACCAGAGACCATACTACAGATTCGTGTGGAAACTGTCCTTTTATTCTGTCTTGTTTCACGTGCTTTTAACTAGTTATTAGACCCATGAGAGGTATCCCCATGGCATCGTGCTGGCTTATTTCCTTCAGGAACATTTTTTTCAAATGAGGAATAACTGGTGTGAAAATGTTACTCAAAGCAAATTGACAAATAAAACATTATTTCAAATGAGATACTGAAGATCATGGTCTATTAGTAGTACTGATGAGTAATTAATCAAACTGCTTACCCAGCCCTAATGTGTCTTCTGTGGATCTCCTGGAAGAGCTCACCTTTGTGTCTTCTATAGTTGGTGTTTGTTTCAAGGGCTGATCTGCAGCTATCTCCCGAAGGGTACATCCCCAGGTCAGCACAGCTCTTTGTGCTTTTCAGCTAAGTGCTTGTCCCTGACTTTACTGGAAGAATAACAGAGACTACAGCTGCTTCTTCACACAAGGGAGAAGTCCAGGGAGCTTTAACATCTGGATTGGTGAGGGAGTCAGTATCTACACTGTGGAAAGACCAGTTTTTATCCTTGGGGTGAGAGTTGAGTCCAGATGGCAACAACCTGCTGTTAGCCCACTTGGTAAGCCTGTAAGATTGGAGAGAAGGCAGCTGGGAATTGTTTCAAAGATTCTTTGTGCTGGTTTTTGTGGCATCCCGTGCCTAGCAGAGGACAGTGCTGGGATGGTCTCCCATCTCCAAGGAGCACATATGGATCCATAGCTGAATAATTGCAGACAGAACCACATTAACAGAGAACAGTGGCCACGTTACTGACTGAGGAAAGGTAAAAAGAACATATGCATCCTGAATGTAATTGCTGTGGAGGTTACCCTGTACTCATCTCGTTTGAAGACGGAAACAGAAAGGGGAAAGTATCTGAGATTCTTTTACAGGACCACGAGTAAAAAAAGTATCTAAGAGTCTAAGAACAAGGAAAAGAAAAAAAAATAAATTAGGTGTTGCAGGAGAGGAAAGTGAGGAAAGCTGAAAACCTAAGAAGATATTTATTTTAATTTTATAATAACATTTTCAGGTGTTGGATGATGTTAGAGAACTGTTATTTTATAAAACAGTAAGAGGAGATGATTCCTGCTCCATAAAAAAAGGACAGAAGAAGAATGGCAGGTTCAGAAGAGGAGAGCTAATCTCCCAAAAGATCTAACCTCAGAGTCAGGTTCAAACCTCTACAGCTTGTCTTCAAGGCCTAAGTCTTCTCAGTGGCATTACAGTTTTCCAGGCACTGGTGAAAGAAAAAGAATTGAAAGACTGAGAATCTTGCTGAGGTGTAGCTGCAGATAGCAGGGAACAAGAGTAACTCATCCTGTATTGCACTGCTGGGGTACAATGGAAGCAACAAAGTGAGGAAGTGGGATCTCTTGAACAGAGAATGCTAATGCCCAGAAGAAAAAAAGCGGTAGCGGTGGAGGAAGCAGGGGTGGAAATACTGGTGGCTGAACTTCTTTTCCACTAGACTGTCTTACTCCTGTGTTGCTGAGGAATTGAGTATGGACAGGTACCCATTAGAGTCCTTGTTATCAATTTGCTTTGAAAGATACACGTTAGGCAGTTTTTGAGAGAGAGTACATAGGGCTGGTAGTTTCTTCTGGTGTTTTTTGAAGCATCATTCAGAACATTTTAAGGAGCTGCTGTGATAATGAAGATTATAGAGGAAGCTGTGACACATTCAGAAAAGCTAGGTTGTAAGTTTTTATGATATCATGAAACAAGGAGACTACAGTTAGCACTCTTGCCAAACCTACACTCTGAATTATGGCATGAAATGTAAAAGACAATGAGTATCTTCTACAACCCAGTTAGTTATGACATACACAAGAAACACAAGGAAAGTCTGCCCTGGGAACCAAACGGAAACATTTGAAAAGAGTGGCTGAGAGAAACATGACAGAGATTAACTGAAGCCTGGGAAGCTCAGGCATTGGGGCTTGAAGGTTTTATTAGACAGTGTCAGGATACAGTGGGCTGTATGGCATCCTCTCTTATGATCACAGTGTGTGAGTTGCTGGGCCATCATAGCCTCTTCAGGACAACTTGTGGCCCTGTCAGTCTGCCACCTGTTCTCTGCAAAGCCCCTCAGCCTTCTGCATTAAGTGTGCTGGTACTGCCTTCTCACCACAGCTTACAAACTTCAAAGCAAGCTGGTGAGCTTCTGTCAGTACTTATCAAGTTGCAGACCACAGCTGAACTTCCACCATATAAGCCTGGGTTATAAGAACTGCCTCTTTGCTGGAGGCCTTTTCTCTGGGTAAGGATTGCATTACATACATGATGAAAGAAGTGAACCCGTCTTCAGTCCCCTTACATCTTTTGGATTGTAATTGTGTGGAGTCAGTGTATGCCACAGTTGCAATCTCATCCTACTAGCTGTTTGTCCTCTCTGAGGGAATTATTTTGCATGCCTTTATTCTACCCTCACTGCAGCATGCATTTACTTGGTATGAGCCTTGTGTTAGTGTATTGACAATTTCTACAAATGCAAATAAATACTTATCTCATTAGTAATGTAAATGTTTAGTTCTTTTCCTGTTGCAACACTGCATCTTCTTACTGCTGATCAGCCACAGCTCCAATTTTAAGTTTTTCTCTTTTGTCTTCCATTGTTCCTCTCAAACATGGTGGTACAGCTATTAATGTAGTTCTGCCAATAGAATTCAAGAAACTCCTCAACAAGGCAGCAATTGGCACATGGCACCTGTAGCAGGTATTGTGCTTGTTGGAGCCACTTAAAACAAATTCGCAGCTGTCGAAGTATTAAGGAGGTTTTAGGTGCCTTGTAAGCAAGAGTCCATATTGGCAAACAAGCAGAAATGTAATGACTTTTCTTTTCTCAGGGCTCCAGAGAGTGATCGTTTTGCCTGGGAGGGGGAGGTGGAGAACAATGTCTACAGCAAAGTGACACGGAGTCCACTGGCACACCCCAACTATCAGCTGAATTTAGCCGTACAGCAACTTCAGCAGCAAAAACTTCAGTCACGACAGCTATTGGAGCAAAGCCAAGCCCGACACCAGGTAACTAAGAAAGCTCCTGTCTTGGACCTAATAGTGCTGACCAAGTCTTAGCTAAGTAGGACCAACCTCAAACCAATACATGTGGCACAGCTTTTGCTGAAGAAATAGCTCTTCCAGTGTGTTACAACAATAGACTAATATTACCTGCAGTGGTTCTAATAAAATTTTGATGCTGCAGTTCCTGCTGGCCTTCTTCACCACACTGGCATCCTGGCTGTTGGCGTGTTCTTGCTTGCTTTTCTGCATAAGTTCAGAGCATTATCTTACATTGCCTCACACAGCCTTAAAATTGTCTATAGTCTTCACAGCTCTTTGTCACTTAATCTTGTTAGTGAATTGCACAGTTCTGCTTTTACTCATGGGTAGTATTTCAAGCTTGGTCACTCCTATTTTGGTGCTTCCAAATCTGGGGTCTTGAAATTGTATTTGGCAACTGCATGTTCTGTGGCAAGCAGATCAAGGCTTTATCTTGACTAAATTCTTCTCCTCCTGGATTTCTTCTAATAAGATGTAGCTACCCAAAAAGCAGCATGCTAGCAAACTTAAAAATTACTTAGGAGAATCTGCATCTTTCTTCTAAAAACAAAAAAAATCACATTTATTTCTTTTAAGATCTTACAGTGTGCAGGGGGCATGGCCACTCCCCCTCATGCAAGGTGCAACTTTTTTCTGCAAATCTTCTCAAAGTCTCCTATTCATTTTGATATTGCGGTATTTAAGATTTCCTTTCACAGCTTTGCACTGAGACACCTGACAGACATTATGACTCCTCTGTTACAACTGCAAGAAAAAAAAAATGGGCTGAGTGTCCAAGTGCTAGAGGAAATACAAAAATGGGTTTATATTATTGATGCTCTGGGTGATTCCTAGATGCCAAGGGTGGACCACTGTGACTGGAACAGCTTTTCTGTCCTGTCTGGGGAATCTTCCAAGATTACAATTAGCTTACTGCTGCACTCGTTACCCTTTTTTGTTATTATGCAGAGGGAGGTGTGTTTTTTTCCTCCAGATGATGTCTGAAAATATTGCTTGCTAAAATAAGTGTTTGGGTGAACAAATCTCCACTCAAAAGAAACTGCTCAAGTAGAAGGGAGATATTTGCTGGACAGTCTGGTAGGACTGGACTCCAACAAAACCATGAGCAGAGCTAACGTGGAGGTCTGAACACCCACTCTCCCTCCTATGAAGCATATGAGTCATTGGTCAGAGTCCTTGAGAATATCTTCTAGGCAAATTGCCCCCATCCTTTTCTCAGAGCATCTTGAAGGAGAGGTCCTTCACCCTTTGCTCCTAACACTCCTTCTCTCAAAGCTGTTACATGGCCACATGGTTTCTGTCCCCAAATTCCCCCACCTACAGACTTCTTGCTGCCCCTCTGAGCAGGAGCAGGAGGTCTTCCTTTCATCCACATCCAAGGAGCTCTTGGTGGGTAGCAGTGGCTGCTCATGAGCTTGGGAAAGGACTATAAACAGGCTTGTGCTTGTGAGGAGGCCAGAACTAGCCATGGGGCCTGGCTGAGCCCTCTTCTAATTGCTGACATTGAGCTTATGTTATTCTTGGCCTCGGGCAGTGCCATTACTCAGGAGTTTCTGTTAAAGTGATTCTTTGTTAAACCTCCACTCACCCCCACAAGATCCCCCTTGCTGCTCTCCCTCCCTTCTGTCTCTGAGCCAAGCAGTTCAGAGTTGCAGTATTGAGGCCTTTGCTATGCCGCAGGGCTCAGGCTGCTCTGAAGTTGCCATTAATGAAGAAAGGAATTTGCTGAACATGGGACTGTCAGAGAACCATATCTTAATAGCATGATTGTCTTTTGAACACATCCCCTTACAATAAACTTTGTATGGAGTCAGCCAGACCTCCCCTTCTAGTCATAGTTGTGTGGAACCTCTGATGCCCCTCCCAGTCATTGCTCTACTCTCATCTTTGTTTTACCTGACTTCCCTCTCTAGTTTGCTGTTATTGATCCCTTCCTTCTTAGACTTCAGTTCTTTGACCTGACCATCCAGGAACTGCCCTTTCTTTTCTGTTACTTGCACACTCCCTACCTTATATCTCCTTCTTTGGTGTCCAATCTACTTTTTTCTGCTGCCCATCAGAAGCATGATTTCATGCATTTCATTTCAACGCTTTTTCTGGGTGGTCTCACCTAAGCCACCTAATTCACACTACCAACTCTCTCAGAAGTGTACCTTCTCATGTAGTGAAGTCTGCCCTGTGCTTTATTGTTTTGTTTGCTACATTCAAGTTTGTCACCTCCCCCCTCCCTCTGTTCACGTAGCCTTATCTTCACTTTCACGATAAAGCATCCTTGTATCAGTGGTGTTGACCAGTCTTGTAGTAAAATCATTTCAACAAAGTATGGAAGGCATTTCTAGTTTCCTTAATCAGAGTGACAACTACAGATACAGGAAAAGCTATAAGGTAAACCTCTTATTCTGAGCTCTCATAGTTTAAGACCCTCAAATTCAGCGCTGCTCTTTGCATCTCCTTGTTTGTTGTCTTCTTTTCTCATGCCTTCCGTGTAATGCCTTTTTCTGATACAGTATCATGTTCTCTGTCACTCCCTCTCCCCATGCAGCTTGGCATGGATGCTGGAATGGAGAAAGCTTACTAATATTTGACAAGATACCATAGTTGGGAGTGTTTAGAGTTTAGAATCAATCGGACCTTTTATAGGAAGTCCCCAACAGGGTCGGAAGGATTATATTTTTCAGTCACAGCACTAACTGGTTGTTCTGGACACAATCAACAGTTGATACTCTGATCTGAGAAAATATGTTGGACAAGATCCCCCAAAACTCTGTGTGTATTTAGAAATTCCACTCCTTCTCCTAACATTCAAAGTGCTACAAGCGATAAAAAGGGGGAGGAAGGTCTAGCAGAGCTATTTTGGAGACTCAGTGCCACCATCAGATGTTGACTATGAGGGGAGGGAATGATAAAGAGGAAAACAAGTACTTAACCTCACTGCATTCCAAGAATGGAAAAGCATGGGATACGGGACTGTGGGCTCCACAATTTTGGATTCGCCCTTTTTAGTGGGTCCTGAATCTTCCTGAATTATCTTAATTAGAATTAAAGGGCTGCTCTAGAGCTTGGGTAACCATTGTTTTAGCCTTGTCTGCTGTTAGGCATCCAATAAAGGATGTTCTCTAGAAAACGATCTCCACGATTTGTGGTCAGTTTCTCTAATTTACACTGACCACCCCTATGTAACGCTTTGCAGTTGTGAAAGTTTATTAACAAAATAAACGTGTCCCCCATAGGGGAAGGTCTTTTACTTGAAAGACTGTCGTAGAAAATATGTGCAGGACATGTTCAAGCCAAACATTTCACGTCATTGTTCAAGTTCCTGTTGGAAGGCAGACCAGCCATTTGTCAGTAGCTGAAGTGTATTTATCAAGGCGCCTTGAGTATGGCATGATCATACAACATGATTAGTTGCCCATTTTTCCTTCTGCCTGTGACAAATAAGCTAGTTTAGTTGTATGTAAATGGATAGCATGTGAACAAATGACAGAAGCACCATGATTAATAACGCGGGCAAATGCTTCTGCTTGTGCGTTAATGAGTTCGATATGTTGGAGATGAACTAGCTGTGTTGGAAAGCATAGAAGTTCCTAGCCAATTGTTTGTGTAATAGGAATACTCCCCCTGCCATGCTGTGGATGTATCTGATCATGAGAGCTTATTGCGTATTTCTTTGTGGTAGCACCCACTCTTGGTTGAGTGCTTTCCAGACGCTTCAGAATGATGATTTCTCCTCCAAGCATTTTGCAGCTTGCAGGGCAGCAAATACTGTGTAGAAGGAGGAAAAAAATAATAACAATTTCCACTCATTGTATGTGGAAGTTAGTTCTCACTCTGCAGTGTGGTGGAAATAGGTCTTCAGTGGCAGAATAGGTATTTTATTCTTCAGATAAAAAGAAAAGCACCAAGCTGACTGAATGCCAACCTGACAAATAAACGGATAAAGCTCTGCAGTGGTAGGGACCAGGAATAGAGACAATACAAAGCCTGAAGAAAAAAAAAATAGAAGGGACAGAGCTGGAAAGTGGAGACAAGAAGCTTAAATCTGATATCAATAAAAACAAGGAACAAGGATTACAAAATTAAACCAAAAGACAAGAAAACCAGGTTTACAGCAGTATTTTTAATGTTTAAAGGAGACCTCATGTGACACATTATGACCTAATGTTAGTATCTCTGTTGCAGTTGGCAAGGCACTGAATATACCATCCTTGTTTATTCTCTAATTGTTTCCTGTACTGGAAAGATGCCAGTAGCTTTAGGGAGGTTCCTCCTCTGTGTGGCTACGTTCAGTCTGCTTAGCCTAGCATCTACTGAGTTCAGATCTTTATGCCAAACATTTCACGTGGGAATAAAAAGCTAAATTAAAATAAGGAAAGTTCAGTTGTATTTAGGAATCATCCTGCTTATATAAAAAACAAAAAGTCATCTTAAACAAGACATAAATCATGTTAATGAGTTGTGTGGTCAGTTATGATCACGTTTTCAGTCAGAAATGTAAGTAGATTTTATGCAATAAAACGTTGGACTAATTTCATCCGTTAAATAATTCTCATCTTTCAGTCATTTGAAGATGGTAGTTCTCAGAAGTGTTATTGCGTCAAGTTCAGCAATCATCTTTCCTTTTAACATATCTTACTCTTTTCTGAATTCCCTACAGTTTACTTGATCTTAATGAGAATTTTGAGTGTTCAAGATAACATTCCTAATATTCCTAGAACTATGTTATTCCTGCCTGAGGACATAAGGCCTCTCTCTTAATGCAGCTTAAGCATCATTAACTGTTTTCTGAACTGTTAATATATTGGACTGCTGCAGTCTCTTGCTATTCTTGCTTTGCAGCTTTTTCCCTCTGACTGTTTTCCCTGTAGATGTGCTAACTGCCATCTTTCCTCTTTGAATCTTGTGATGTTGATGAGTCAAAATCTCAGTCTAAGTAAAGCAGAACAACTGTTCTGAAAGCAGTAGTCTGTGATTTACACCACCTGAAACTTTGTGCCCATGTTTCCAATCTCATCGCTATTATTAGGATAATGTTAACACTCAGTATTTTTCCTGTACAATGATGTGGCTTCCAGTTTGATATCAAAGACAGAAAAAGGAAGAAAGCACCAAATCAGTTTATTTTAGTATATTGTATGTTTTAATATATTGACATCTAGAGAATACCTTGAATTTTCTCTCTTCCTTTTGATATATTTATGACCCCAAGATCCTTCTCTTTCTGCAATTTAACACTGTGACAGTTAAATAATAAGGTCAAAATATGCTATTGTCGCCATTTTGTGAATTATTAACTCAACTGATTGTTGCATCCAGATTGATTTAGCTGAACATATTAGTATGTGTTCAGAAGAATCTGTGCTAAACAATTTGTATGAATCCAAAAGTCATCCAAGCCTTTTGATTCTTTGTATTTTTGCAGTGTTACCAGAAATGCAGTTGTTTTTCTAAAAGGTTGGGGTTTGGGGTTGTTTGTTTGTTTGTTTGTTGTTGTTGTTTTAACTAAATCCTTGTTATAATTTATTCCTTATGAACATCTCAGTTTCCAGCATTAACAGTTAGGAACTCCCTGCATAGCTGCACAGATCTTTGTGCAGTACATGTGTGTGTACGTTTGTCAGTTCTCATATACTGCTGGGTCTCTCATTGCTTTCAGGCTTGCTGATTCAATTTATACCAAATTACCATGGTATAGAAATCTCAAAGCTATATTTTATACAAATGAAAGTATGCAAATGAAACTAAAGTGCTATGAATCTGAGATGGGTACTCAGCTACTGAGTAGCCGCTGAGCTGCAGCATTGGGCCACTCCTAATTACACAGCAGAAAATCCACACAAGAATACCTCAAACCATGAATACCTCAAACCTATGAATGGAAGCATAATTTGGCACATGCTTTATATTAGAAACTGTAAGATTCAAAACCAAGACAGATTCACAGGAAATGAGTTTCATTAGCTTCTTTGGTCACATAATGAGCATGTTTTTGCTTGCAACATTTGTTCCATTACTGTGCTAGGAATGGGTGTTAGATACAGGGATGGTAAGTGCCAGGAACATTCTTTCTGTTTTTGAAGTTCATTAATTTATCTGCTTTTCTTCAAAGTATTGCAGTACCTCCCTGCTTTCAGTTATGAGCAGCCCTAGTTCAGGTGCTACTGGCTAATACTCTTAGGTGTGCATTGTTATTACTGACAAGCTGTACATGTTGAGATTTTCTGATTAAAAGTGTTATCCAATACAAAAAGAGACACTTTGTCTATGGTGTACATGTGTAGGTGTGGATGCAAGGGAAGGTGTGATCAAAAGAGGCAAATAGGGGATTGAGAGTCAGGATCTTCTCTGAGATCACAGCCTCGCTTTTCATGTTACTTCTGACTGACTTGGGGAAAATCACTTTCTCTGTGTGCTAGATAGGGTAAATGCTGTCCTTTTCTGCATCATTTTGGAGGGTGCTACCTGCTTCAGGACTGCTTCTGACAGAGTTTCTTAAGGCTTCTGCTCTCACTAGGTTCAGAACATTCAGGACCCTGAGGGCTGAGACATATCTCCCACTTTTTTGGTATCTCTGGAGCATCTTCCCAACCTTTGCAGTCAGGCTCTGTTCTCCTCAGCTGCCCATTTTTATTTGCACAGTAGCTTCTCCTGGTTTCCTGTTCTGACCCCACTGAGTTCACAGCAGGGCAGTATGCTTTGTAGCTGAATCCAGAAGCCATGGTCTGTGTCAGCTTCTATCTTTGCCTGGAAGGCAGCCAGAATCTCAGCACAGCATGGAGACAAAAGCTATTTTGGAATTCCATTATCCTCAAGAAAACATCCATGATCTTTCCATAGACAGGTCTCAGTCTAGCTTTTGCTGATAAGATTTCATTAGAGCATCCATACTTGCTGTTTTCTTGAGAGTCATAGTCCTCCCTACACATTCCTGTTAATATAGGGAAGGGGTTCAGACTGTGTGCTTTGGAGGCACCAGGATCATAATGCTTTTAAAAACGAGAAGAAAAAAAAAAACACCCACAGGAAAATGCATAGGGGAAGCAGGGAACAGTGAAGTGGCATCCCTGAGTAAGAAGGGGGTGCAGTGATTTGAGGGTCTCTATTCCAGCCCTCTAATGCAGGAGACTCTAAGATGCAACATACTGAACCATGTTTCATTTTGGTTTGTTTTATTGAGAGGAGGTGGGGTGTGACTGCTATTTTCCAGACTTCTGCACTTACACCAGCTACTTATTTCTAAAGCTGAAGGCTGTGATCAAGGTAGAGCTTCAGGGGAGGGAGAGGTTAAGAATTGAGAGCTCAAGAGGATCTTGTCAGTGAACTTTCGTTAGGAAACAGGCCTGTTTTGGCTCCTGCACTTCCTTTTCTCCCTAGAGCTCAGCCTGTCAGAAACGCCTTCCCACACACCACTGCCTTGCCATTTACCAGAGAACTGCGGGGGAGAGGGGCTTTTCCTGTCTGTGTGCTGAGATTCAGCCAGCCCTCAGACTGTGGTTTTCTCTGGAGCCCACTCTCTGTGGCTTTGTATGTTTTTCACCAGAGAAGGAGCTATGGACAAATGCAGTGAAGTGCACTGCTGCCAAGGTCATGCTGAGGTGACAGGCAATTGCTCAGCTCTCCTCTTCATCTCCTATCACTGACCTCTAGCTGCAGAACTGTGTGGCTATGCTATTACCTCTTTGCCCTGGGAAACTAAGGAACTTCAAGGAAAGTAAAGACAGAAATCCCAGCAAGTTACTCCTTTCTAAAAAGAGCTGAGTAGTTTGCAGAGCTTTCATAGGGAGTCATTTCCCATTCCCTGCTATGCCAGTGTATTGCTCACAACATGCAGATTCTTTTGATCTCTGTGTCAAATCTTCAATGTACTTATTCTCCCACTTGCTTTACGAATAGAAATATTCTCAGTTCCCTGGTATTCCTGGGGATTTCTGTTTTGTTGCTGACCTCAAGTCTCCTTTTTCAGAGACTTTACCTTAGAGCTTTCCAATTACTTGAAGAACCTACAGGGTTGGACTGAAGAACTGGTATTTTAACATCTTCCTCCTAGCCTTTTTCTCTCCTAGAACTTTGTCTTAATCCCAGCTCGCAGGCAAAGAACAGCTTACCAGGATAAAGGCAGAAAGTCAGTTAAAGCAATAAAAACTTTGTTTATAGGAGCCTATTGCATGATTAGATTGGGGAAGACCTCTTGGTTTCTTTTTCCTCCAGAACAGTATCGTTTTGTGGTAGTAATAAGCTTCTCTGCCTTCCTAGATGCTACAGTTGAGCTCTTAAAACTACTTCATTGACAACTGTTCTTTTTGTGCTTGAAACTGTTCCTGAAACTTTGAGGTTGCCTTCACTGAGAAGAGATTCTCCCTTACAAAATGTCACTCTCATCTGTCAGCTATCAGCTATATTCAGGGAGAGGATCACCAATTACTATGATTTTGTTTTGTTTTGCTTTTACCAGGCTCTCTTTGCCAGCTACTCGCAATCCAGCACGAGCCATGTACCTATGTCACCTGGCTCTGGTGCCCACAAGACATCAAGTGCCACTTCTAGTATCCAGAAGGCAGCCAGTTTGCACAAAGTGATGCCATCCCAGTGTACACCTTCTCAGCTGGTTCCAAAGCCTCCAGCAAACCGCAGACAGGCAGTGGTCAGAAAAACTGCAGCCCAGAGGATTTCCAAGTAAGTTTTATCTCTTTCCATCTACAGCAGGAAGTTGGCACTGGTTCCACTAAGAATGAGTATAGGAGGAGAAGAACCTGTCTACATATGACTCAGACATAGGTCTTTCAGGCTGTTGAAGACAAATCTCAGAATAGCTTGACCTGTGTGAATTAAAGTATAAATGTACACTATTGTGCATTCTCACGTTTCATGGTGGCAAGGTAAGCTGGACTGTAACATCATACAAACAAGGACATAGGAACTACCAGAATGAATCAGTGAAGTGTCCTGTCCGGGCTGAGAGTCAGTTACCTAAATGCAAGTTGCTAGTGCCATTTTAATTGCCTAGGGCTAGTCTACATAACCTCCAACTGCTGCCCCAGATAAGCACAAGTTTTCTGTAGATTTTGTGTTTTATGTGTCAGTCCCATGCAGGTGTTGCAAATAACTTGTCAGCTGTGTTTAGGCACCTTGTTTAATCTTTGATGAGGGTTAGAGTCTGGCAAGTCAGAAGAAGCTGCCAAAAAAAAAAAAAAAAAAGTAAAACCACCAGTATCCTTAACAAGCTAATCTAGCCTTGAGCCAAGTTTTCCCATAAGCTTAATGTATGATGATTGACTTATGCCTTTAGGCAGAACTGTTTATTTCATTTAATGTGTTTGTGTCTAATGTAGTGATTGTTTTCCTTGTTATCTGTAGAAATGTTCATCCTTCCTTAACTTTTACTAAGCTTCTACTTACAGTGCTTGCCATTCTAAGATACAATAATTTGCTGTGTATTATCTTTAAAAACAAAATAACACACTTATCATGAAATGTTTACTGATTTTAAGTTTCCTTCCTTTCCATTTCTTGTTGTATTCTATGCATCAGAAAGAATGTGAGCAAGGCTTCTGTTTTCCATTTTTCTTATCCTTTACCTTTCTTGCTAGCTCCCTTAGCTCTCTCTGTTTATCTTCTCTTGGTTTAATGCAGTTCTGTCAATTACATCCTTTGGCAAGTTTTTCCTCAGACGTGTTTCATTCCTAAAGGGCAGAAATTGCATTCATAACTTCCTCTCTTATACTCTATACCCAGAAGAGTCGTAAAGCTTTCAGAGCAGGTTCCTGTGAGGTTTCCTGGATCTTTGTTTGCTTCCTGGTTTAAAGAGAGGAGGCTTAATAAAAGATTACTGATAGAAGACACTTCATAAAGATGCTGGGGCACTGTCAGTGTGTGGGAAGCTTGTATATTTCCTGCTTGTACTCTTGCTATCTTAAGAGCTAGCATATTAAATGAATCCCCAAAACTATCTAAAAAGAAAACAAGATGTAAGTAGACTTTGTAACTCAGCAAATGCAGATGCAAGCATCAGGTCTGGCAGGTATATGCTGGTGAGTTTGATATGTGAATTCTTCAATGTTGGATAGCTCATGTTAGGACAGGTGACAGGCTGTGTCAGTGGGTTTCTCTGTCGGGCAGCAGAGATGTGTATTTGAAGATGCCGGTGTGCTGTGCTCACTTCTTGGCAGAAGAAATGTTTATCCTTATGAGATGGAATTGCAGCTCCTTGGACAGACTTTACTTTGCTGCATTTTTGTGGTTTCTGCTCTGTGACAGGCAGGAGTGTGGGAAAACCGGAAAAAGTTCAGCACCAAAAATGCACAGAAGGGGGAAAAAAAGCAAAAGATTCCTTCAGAATTTTAGCAAACTAATCCAAGTATTGAAGGCTGCAAGGAGCCACTCAGGAAATACTTTCCAAGTTGCCTTTCAGACTCCAGTATGAAGCTCAGAACCCATTCTTGTCATTCATGGGACCTTGAAGTAACATTTTTTCACTTACATGGAAAACACCAGTGCCTAGCTATATTTCCAGTGTGCTGAGAACTAATAATTTAAAAGATGCTATGTCTCAGTCTAACCCAGTGTGTTGTCAAGAGTAGACCAGAGATTCATTGAAGAGTAGATAGAGACAAGCCTCTGCCTCAAATGAATCTAGATTAGAGATAAGAAGTATGTCTTGCCTTCTCTAGCCTGTTCTCTATAGTCCCTGGTTATTTTGTGCAGAGTATTCTCAGACACTGTGTGTAGACTGCTTTCAAGTAAATCTAGTGGAAGAAACCCCACAGTGTGTTATAGACTTTGTATTAATCTAAATAACTGTATTATTGGAAAGTTTCTCCTGATGTGCAATCTGAATTCTTAATTAATTTCATCTTCTCGTATCTCATTCCTCTATCCTGAACCACCCTCAACACTTTCCCTTGCAAATACTTTCCATCTTTTGAAAATCCTTCTACTTCTTAGAGTTTCCTAATGTTGTTTAGACTTATTGAGGTTTTGTTAATCTCAGATAGTAGTTCCACCTGCCAAATCTTTAATTGTCTTGAATTTACTATATTTTCTTCAGTTTGTCAGAGTTCTTGCATTGTGGCTCTCAGAATCATACTTTTCCAGTGTGAGACTACTGTATCCTTAGGTTATGAGGTCGCAGATATCCCTATCTGTAACATCTAATCTAATTTTGGCTTCTTGGCTGCTTTGTTTCTCTCTCAGGTCATCTTTGATTTACTGCTCACTTTCACCCCTAATTCTTGTTGGCTGCTTTCCTGACCTCTCCTTACAGACCTCTCCTCGTTGCTATCTATTATTTCCACAAGATTCACTGAAACTAAATCCATACTATGTTAAAGCTCTTGTGTCTCATTTCTTTTTTACATGGTTTTCAGTAGGTCAGACCTTTATTTCTATGTCTGTTCTTGCACCACCTGGCTTCTGTTTAACATCTTAATAAAGACCTTTTTCAAGTTCTTTGTAGAATTCCTTCAGAGACTGAACTGTGAAGACAAACTAGAATCAACTTTGTCTCTTTGACCTCTCTGTCCTTTTGCACGCGTTATCATTTCTATCCTAGCCAGCACACATGGCTTCCAGAAGAGGAGGAAAAGAATAAGTGGTTGAAAACACTTCTACAAATAAAGTGAGATGCTAAAGGTGAACATTACTGGTTAATTCTGATACAGTCTAGTAAGTTGGATGTTTCTCTGCTTAAAACATAAAGGAAAAGAGTAATGAAACAGCCAGACAATTCAGTCTTGTGTTTTCAAGTTCTGGTCTCTCTTGTTTTTTCAGTCTCTCAACTTGTAAAAGATGGTAGGTTGACTTTAAGATGATCTGTGTCCAAAGCAGACTCCTTGCTTAAGCTAATAGACTGAAAAACTGGGGCCCACTTTAAAGATGTGAAAAAAGTCTACGGTGACTGGGAGAAATGGTTTAACATGTAGCTCCACTTAGAAACACAGGCTCATGAAATGATCTCCTGAGGCTCCATAGTTTTGATTAATTGTACTCAGATTACAAGTAGAAAGATACCTTTTGAATAGTTGATACAATAAATCCTTCTTTCTTTCCAAAAGTCAGATTGGGTCCTTTCCACTGCTTGTATTGCCACTGTTGGCTGCCTGTGAACCATGAAGAAACCTGCTGCTAACTGAGTGTAAAAATTTGAAACAGAAGGCACACAAATAGTATTTGTAAACCATGGGATGAAGCAGATGTCCCTGAAAGCAGCATTTGCTGAATAGAACTTTCACATTACAGATAATGGCATTCAAAGCAAGAAAATATATTAGCACAACTGTGAGGACCCAGAGTGAATTGGTACAGATGGTAGACAGAAAATCTTTCTGCTTTTAGGAACAAGGAAATTACAATAAATATAGATTTCTAAACTATCGTTATGATATTTTTTCAGAGAGCTGCTCTCAGTGGCAGCATCAAGGTCAACAGTTGGACATGATGATCTTAGAAGTCTTCTCCAGATTCTTTAATGATTCTTTGATGTTAAAGTAGGGCAAGGCTTGGACAGCCTGTGAACAGAACTATTAGTTAAATGAAAGATCTTCAGAAAAATACAGCTGCCAATGTTGGACTGCTGTACATAAAGAGAGGAAATACCAGATAGATAAAAGGAGCATACAGTTCAAGATTTTATCAGGAAGAGAGCAAGCCCAAGATCACTGACTTTACCAGTGATAGACTGAAACACAACAACTAGTGGGGGGGTTGATCAACATGGCCTAATTTCTTGTACTGAACTTCTCTGTAAATATCATTCCCAACAACTCTACTCAGGAAGAACAAATATTTCCTGCACCACAGCACATGATCTTGCCTCGTTCTTCTCTTGGCTATTTATTTGCTTTGAACAATGTCAGCAGTAGAAGATGCAAAGTTCTGCACGGTTGTAACTAACACAGAAATAGGGTAGAGGTGATGAATTTCTCCAGGGTTCAGGAAATCCACTCCACAACTGGGTGGAGTCCCGACTAAAGTTGAACACAGCAGCAGCCAGCTGTTCTAGGACAGGCTGGCCAACCTGGGCAAATGTGCCAAAAGAATGGCCATAGAACAAGCACTGTAAAATGCTATATTTCTGGTTTGTATCCTGTCCCATGTGTGCTTATTCACAGACACAAATGAAGTGTCTCAAGTGAGCTGATTACGTCACACGTGCAAGCTGAGTGCTCACCAAAAAAGAAGAGAGGCAACAGGAGACCAAACATGCATCTGTTGCTGAGACCACTTTTTTTTGCTATCACTGTACTGAGGCATGCTTGTTGTTTTAGCTCCTGAGCATATGGGTTAATCAGTCCGCCTGACCCTTAGACATTTCTGGCAGCAAAAGCAGTGCATCTGAGAGACATGCCTTGATTTAACACCCTGACACAGCTGGGCTCACTGGGCCTGCAGCTCTTAGCCCTTGGCTAGCCTCAGATCATACACACAGATACACATGTGGAGATATCTTGGCCAAGAGCAACAGAGGAACAAGCTCCCTGACTCTGGCTCTTCACATCTGTTGCTGTCCTCTTGTCAAACCTAGGCTTTATGTGATGCAAATTTGTTAGTGTCCCCACTGGACCATTAGACACATTCATGATATCCCAGGAATAGGTCGTTACAACAAAAGTGTTCAGAATTCAGTCAAGAAAACACTTTGCATCTGTGGAACAAGAGCATCTTCCAAATTTGCAATCCAAGGCTGGGTAGCTTAGAGGTGGCTTAGTGCCTGAATGAAGAAAGTCAGTATCAATTTCAAGGAGGGCTTAGTTGTATAAGCAAGAAACAAGGCCAATGTTAGATATTTAAGTGAAGGGGACAGTGAGGAAAAGGCTGGGTTTGTTAGTTTTAAAAAGGAATAAATGGAGGACTTAACAAAAGATTGCACTGAAGAAGCAAAAATTACACAAATGCTAGAAGCAGGAAAATGAGATAAGTAATGGGATTTCAACCAACTGAAGGGGGAAGAAAATGGAAAAGGATTTACTCTGTTTAAGTCATGAATATGTTCCAGGACTAGAATTTCTATCTGGACAGTAGAGAGACCTTGAGAGGTGAGCTTATCACAGTGAGAGATCTACCACAGGTAGATCTGAGAATGGGCTGTACAGAGATGGCAGCTGAAACTGCAAAAAGGAAGATGTAGAAAGAAAAGGGGACAAGAAAGTCTGTAGTGGGAAACAGTAAAAGTAAAGCAGACTTAAAGGTAGAAATGTAACTTCCTTGTCATTTTTTGTTGTTGGGCTTGCTGACATCCTTGATGACATTTTCAACTGCTAGTCTTGTATTCTACCTAAAGGTAGACTAGCAAGATTTGGCTGTCAATTGTGCTGCATTAATGAAGTAGACAAACTAATTGTGAGCATGCAATGTTTATATAAAAAGCACAAAGATCTATCTGGATTCTCTGCCCCTGGATGGACTGTGCACTGTCAGCAGAAAAAAACAACACAAAACAGAAGTACAGATCCAAAATTCTCTCAGAGAGACAATAAACATAGAAACAGGCACCTCATTTGACAACAGCATTTCAAATTGCAGCTGATTGAAGTAAGGGGCTGTGCTTTGCACATTGTATCTGCTTCCTCTTCCTTTCCCATATAGATTCCAATTTACTTTACTAAAATGCAACTGAGATAAAATACAGGAGGCCTTCTCTGGCCATTTAGTTGCCAGAAGCATCCGGATTACTGGCTGCCTTTGTAATTTGAAGGCAAAACTTTTCAGAAAAAAAAAAAAAACTGCAGTAAATGCACACATGTGCCTGAATCTGTTAGTAATCAGGGCATCATGTGAGGGTTGGAGCTCACAGTGTTCTTCAGGGGAAGAGCTCAGAGTAACCCTATTTCATGGCAGATATGAATGAGTGAAGGAGAAGCTCTGTGGCAGAGAAACAGGAGTGTACGTACAGAAGTCTGTAGCGATCAGAACAGAGTTGGGCAGGGAGGAAGAAAAGACAGAGGTGTAGGAGAAGAGAGGACAAACCAAGAATAGATAGATTAATTTTTAAAAACAGAGTAGACCATTGCAGCTGTACAATTTATACTACTTTTATGAGTGGATTTCTTTTTCATGTAGGAGAGCTTGATCTCATTTTGGTAATGAGTATTTATAATAATTAAAGGAAATGCAGTTGTTCTCCATAGGGTATTGTTTTACTGTAACTCAGATGCTGAGCTGAATGCAGGAGGATTTGCATGAATATCTGCTTGAGGACTGGCTGTTTACTACTGGAGACTAAATGCATCCTGTAGGTCTCAGTTTCCAACACAAGTGAGAAATCTTGCCCAAATGAGTTGTCTCTACTAAGACAAGATGCAAGGACTCAGATTTTGAATGAAGCTTGTTTTTGCCAAGCCCCCCTACTCACGTGCATTTTTGTTTTAATGTTGCCTAATCATTGTTCTTCAAATCACTGCAGTAAGGATACCACAAAGTTACTGGTTGAGTTGTACTTTCGATATCATTTACCATCCATCTTCTTTATCCTTCAAAATTAGCATCCAAGGCGTGTGGGACAATTAAATGTTTTAGGTACATTGAAGTCTTGTTGGTGGCTTGAGCATTGGTCTGTCATCCCCTGCCTTTTTGGAGCTGTTGCTGTCATTGTCTGTTTCATACCATGTTCAGGCACGGCTTCATGGCCACAGTCTCATTAAAACTTTATTACTGTTGTTCAAAACCTTTATGCTTTCTTGGTATATCCCTTCTCATCTCTTTCTAATTGATGTTTTTGCTTGTTAGGGTGACCTCCGTTGAAAGGCAACTTAACGGATTCCAGAACAGCCTTCGCAGTGCTGCATCCTGTGAACCAGGCTCAAATTCCACAGGTGAGTGCTGAAGACCAGGAAAGGGGTGTAGCCATGCTGGGATGCTTTCATCTTTCTCAAGAACTGCCAGTTAAAAAAAAAGCAGAACTAAAAAACCTTAGCAAAAGGAAGAAACACAGCTGTCTACTCTGCACATAGTGGTTCCTAGGTAACAGCTTGGCTTCAGCTGCATAGAGAATTTATTCCTCTCGGGACTGAAAAGACTAAACAAAAGGGAGCAAAGACTCGGTTTCATAGAATTGGAAGAGGAAGATGCTTAAAAATGTGGCTGGGAAAAAAACTTGGCTAAAATGGCCTCTCTGCTTTAGGCTTTGGCTCAAAGATGCTCTGTTGTTCAAGCTTGGACTGTAATAAAAGGCCAGGACATTCTTTACATTTTTCTTCAGTCTTGCAGAAGAGTGCCTTAGTTCAGAAAGATGTCACTGAGACTTGTGAATCAGCTGCGTAGTGAAGTCAGTCAGTAGAGGTAAAACCTCCCAAAGAAAGATCACTGAGACCTATAAAATCAAATCTTCATCCTTCCCTACGGATTAATTCATTTAAAGAAGTTTCTCTGCTAATGCAAATTGAGGATCTCAGAAAATGAGGACCCAATGAATTTTTTATTGATGTAGTCATATTTGCAGTAGAGTGTGGTCTTGATGAACCCATAATACCCGTGGCCTGCAGTAATTTGTGATGATGCTGTAATGGCATATATAGATAAATTATGATCTAGAGTGCTTTGAAAGAATTATGTTTCTGACCTCAGCTTTTACTTTGAAAACCTTGAAAATGTGACTTGAGTATCACTGAAGCAGTCTTGTCTATGTTTTCATGGGCTGAAATAGAAGTTAGCAGAGAGGTGAACTGCCCAATCCATCTCTTGGATATCTGGCTCTGAAACTTAAAGGTGACATGTCCAATATTAATGTCATGGTTTTGGCTGATCCTCCAGCACAAACATTCAGCTAATGCACTTATTGTACGATTCCAAACTGCCTCCTACACTTTACCACCTGCCCGAAACTTCAGCTACCCTAACCAGAGATTTTATAGTGTGAACAGCTGTTGTCAATAACAAAGACCCTACACCACACTGGAACATGACAGCTTAGAAATGGAATATAATGAGATTGTCAAAATAAATAAAACTTTGTCAACACTGTCGCATATATATAATTGAGACAAAAGTTCTCACTTACTGTATAGTTTGAGTTTTTTGCATACTATCCATAAATTTACAAGCAAACGTAAAAATGTAGTTTTCAAAGTATGACTGAGTAGACTTATATGAAGGTGTTTGTATGCTGAATTCAGCCCTTTTTAACAACTTTAAGAGCACCCTGTAATTTCAGTGGTAGGCCATCAAAAAAACCCTAGGATCCGATGAGCAAGTCACTCAAAGCTTCCTTGTCCCTAGAAGAGGTATATAGCTCACAGAATAGTGCTAAATTTTGCAGTGATTGAACAAAGTGGAGCAACATGTTTGTTCTTGGAAACAAGAGGAAGGATATTTTCTTCAGCTTTGCACCAAGCCACTGGTATGCGTCAGAGGCTGCTGTGCCCAGTCTGTGTGTCTCAGAGACTACTCTGGTCCTTCCTGTAGGAACAGCTGTTTTTCTTCTTCACTCTTCATTGATTGCTTACATTAAGGCCCTGATTTCCCTCATCAACAGCTTATTTTGGGGTTCCTGTTTCACATGTATTTAATATCCTGGATACCAACTAGAAGAGTTGAAGACACAATTCATAAGGCAGATTACAAAATAAGCTGCAAGATTTTAAAGATAGGAGGCTGTGAACAGTTCTGGAGATAAGAGGAATCAAGCAGAACCTCTGTGTATACACACACAGATATGTTTAAAAATGTTTGAGAAGCTTGAATGGACCTTAACTGGATAACAGTCTGTGTGACAATTAATTGCAGAGTTGGCACAACCATTTCATACCATTGTATGAGACTGCTTCTGCGAAGAAAACATCCTGGAAGAATGAGGAAGTCAGTTGAGTACCATGGTCTATCATTGCCTGCTGGTTATCAGGACCTTCATCTGACTTTGGCTGTTGTCCCTCAGATAGCCTATCCAAGGAGTAGTAGATACTGGGGCTTTGCAGAGGAGCATAAAGGTGTCACAAATGATCTAACCAAAAGTGAAGAGGATGCTCAGAATAACAGCGAGTCAGGCAACGTGGAATGTTTTAACTGGACTGTACAGAGAACAGTTCACTGGTGGTTAGTATTGCAACTGTAGGAGAATAGTAGGTAGGTGTGCAGTGGGCTCAAGCTCTGGAGTTCAGATTTCTTGAGATGATACAAGAGTAAAAGTCAGCAGTTCTGCAAAGCAGCTTAGGACTCTGAAACAAGCCACCATTATATCCTCATGGCCTCACTGTAATGTTACGAAGAGACTGAAGTTTCCTTTGAACTGTATTCCATTGGAGTAATGAGAGAGAAAGCAGAGGTTCTTATGAGTATACAGACTGGAAAATCTAAAAATTGAAACCTGCAAGGTATCATTTGGCGTTATTTGTAGTGTCTGAACAGTTAGTTTCTTACCTAAGTTACTGAAAGTTTTGAGAGAGTTTATTCTATTAAAGGAATAGAAGAAATGTTAAGAATTACTACATCTGAGTAATATTCAAAATTCTTCTGACTTTATTTTTTGCTGAAAAATTTTTTGCTTAATCTGAATCTAGTAAGGAAACTTCTTGAGCTAGGTGATATGCAGTTGATTTTACTCAGTGTGATTTCTATGTCTGTATTTGAGTTTAGTTACAGGATGTTTCACACTTGTCTGTTAACTTTGTAACCTGGCTCCCATATCCACATAAATGCCAGCTTCTGAAGGTATGCAGCTGTTTAAAATAGAGTACATCATCATCTGTAAGAACTTAGAATTGGATCCTGATGAAGAATATGGGGATTGACAAACTGTTTTGGACCTCATCAGGTGGAAGGCACACTGTTCTCAAGTTTTCTAGTGATCTCCTTCTCCATCCTAAGAAGGAGACCAGTACTTGAACACCATCCAACTAAGATGAGTGTGCAAGCACTGTAGTTAGCTGTAGAGTAATGAATGCAGTAGCTTACAGCAGTGATAGTAAGGAATACTTTTTTACTTGCTCTTCTTGATATCTACCACAATTCCAAGATTTTATATTGTACAGGAAATGTGCAAGTATAATGTGTATTTCTGAAGCTTTTTTTATACCTTATATTAGTGTGTGGGCCTTCATGAGAAATTCATGTACGACTTTTCATTGGAGACAAGAAATTGGAGTTGATGTTGGAGTTGATGTCTGAGCTGTGATGACTGTTGGCTACCCTGCCTGAATTATCATCATTCTTGAAATGCAGACGTTTATATAAGCTTGTAGAAAGAAGAGATTATTTTAGCAGGCATGCAGATGTACAAAGATTCAAAAATTGCTTTGCAGCAGTAAAAGAAGAAAGTTAGTAAAACACAACAGGCACTTCATCATGACATGTAGTATAAAGGGTAGTGATGGGATGGAACAAGTACTATTGGCATTGTGCATGGCTGGTGTCAGACACCCAGCTATTTGCTACAGTAGGATGGAATTCTCAGCTGCCCAGCCTTATCCAGGCTTCCTCAGCTTCTGCCAGGCTCTTCTGCAGCATAGGGAGGCAGTAGCTTATTGAGCACCAATGTATTTATTTTTATGTTGATACCACATTCCCAAAAGGAACCTTGGCTACAATTTCAGCTGGTCTCACCACACTATCCAAATCCTTTGTCAAGAGCAGCTGGGAGAAGTCACTCAGATTTCTGCATAGTGCATTGCTGGTACACCTCCTCCCTCTCACTAATCCTGTTAATTCCAGCCTTCATTTGCCACCTTCCTGGTTCTCTCTTGTTGCTGTGACTGACTGCACCAAGTGGTTTTGAGTTGGAAAGATGACCTTAAAGTGGGCTCCTTGTCTACCTTGGACATCTTTGGCTCTCAGGCAAAATATGTCTTATGACACAAAAGAGCAACTTATGGTGTCACCTCGTAATTTATCATAATCCAGGAAGAGCGTAACAACAATCTCTTTGATGAAAATCCTTCCAGAACTACCTGCCTGGCTGAGAAGCTCTCGGTGGATTACTGAAAGGGATGAGTGATCTGATACACTGTACCTTGCATCAAACTTTTCCAGTGATGCCTTTCACCCTGTGAACAGCCTTGGCAACAGCAGTAGTAATATTCTGCCAGCATCTCTCTATCCAATCTGTAGTGCCATCTCTATGCAGAGAAAGGGTTATGGAGAATCAGTTGTATCATATTTTGGGAACTCATTGAACTTAAGATGGAAGATGAGGTGAATCCTACTATTGTGTTTCCCTTTTTGGGAGGGCAAAGAATCAGATGGAAGATATTTGGTTTCACATTTGTTCTTAGCATTATCTTTCTAAAGCCATTGTTATTCCATGCACCACAGCAACATCCTGAATCACCTTTCTATCCCCTGCTGACATCCATGATTCCATAAGGAAGGTAGACGGGATAGGAGGGAGAAAAAAATCTTTTTTCTTCTCTAACATAGTTACTGAAGCTATCCCATGTCAGATAATAACAGATAAGCCTGTATTACCAGATGGAGCAGAAGGAAAAGGAGAGAAGTAGAGAAAGGCCTTCTCCTTAAGCTGTTTTTTGGTACTCTTTGTAGAAGCCATTACCTTATGACCAGCAATAAACACATATTGCTGGGTCTAAAATAATACCTTTAGAATAGATGCACCACAAATTATGAACGGGGTGTGCCTGTGTTTGAGCTTATCCAGATATCAGAAAACTGTGGAAGTCTCATTAATCTCAGCAGAGCATAAAGCTCTGCCAGAAGCACTGTTCTCAGTCTTTCTCTGATGATGTTAATGAGGTAATGGCCAACTCAGCTATTGCTTCTCAGTTAGAACTGAGGATCTGTGTTCACTTCTAATGATCAGAAATTACATTTATTGTTTAACTTGTGACAACAGCCTGCCTCTCGCACCTTTAGTCAACTTTTTGCTTTTCTTTTATGAAAGAAAGCCTTTTATGAAAGCCTTTTTCCTGTTGCTACTGGTCTCATGCCACATCCTCATGGAAAGGATGTTCCAAGTTTCAGGTACATTGGGAAAACAGAAATTCAACGAAGAATAGCCTCTAGAAATTGGCTTTCCTGTTTGAGAACTTGAACTCAGCTGGAATTTCAGGAGCTTCACTTCTGACAGACTCAAAGAAAGCTCCTAAGCAGGATAAGTAATAACTTCAGGCAGCTGGCATTTTTGCCTGACTGGAGGCTGAGCTTTGCTTGTTCTCAGTAGTTAGGTGGTGGCAAACTGCCTGCATTTCCTTGCTGTGTTGGAAATGTCATTCAAGATCAGGTGTGCAAAGACTGTGGAGAGGTTATATAATGTCTTGGCTACCAGTGTCTCACATCTGGCCCTTTGCTGTTAAGCTACATATAGAGAGGATGACTTCGCCCCTCCAAATTGGATTTTGTTTTAATCTGGCATTACTTTATTGAGGCTAAAAATAGAAGCCAAAATGTGTGTGAATAGGATAAAAGGAGTGTCTGAAGTTATGAAATGAAATGTGTGGAAGAGCCAGAGAAGAGAAAACCACAATAAACCAGAGTAGAATGAAAGCTGTCAAGTACACAAGGGCATCAGCAGTCAGAGGGAGGAGCCCACCCAGTGTCTTCTAAGTAATAAGAGGAGGAGAGACCCTCAGATTGGCTTCCACCACCACGTCTCCATTTGTTATTAAGACCACTCGTCGCTCTTTTACTGTAGAGAGGCTTTGCTCAATTGTATACAGTTGTGTGCATCCTGTTTGAGTCATCCCCCCCCAAGTACTTTATCATGCCTGGGAACGGCTGCTTTCCTTCATCTGCCCATTCCAGCAAGCCAACTTGAAATTGTGCCCAAAAGATGGGGGAGGGAAGGTTGGCCTTCAGTTGCCAGCTGTCCTAGCTTGCTAGTGTCAATCACCCAAGGATATAAATAAAACCTATCTATTTATTGCCTTTCTTAGTTGTACTGTATAGTATCAAGAGAATGCTGGGCATCACTCTTAGATTATAAATTCCCTCTGCTTTGGGATAAAAGATCTGAATTTCTAGAGTTATTAGGGTTTTTCAGGGGAATGTAAGCTTCCTTCAGCACAGGAAGATTCAGGAGATTCAGACGTGTAAGTCTGTGGCAGAAGTGAGAAGTTAAGGGTATGATGAAGTAGAACAAACTAGTGCTAAAAAAAAAACGTTAGCACAGGTCCCTGACCTAGTACTGTCAACCAGCTTGGTACTCTGCTCTATCTCATTCCTGCAACTTGGAAGCAGAGTAGCTTATGTGCTGGTGTCTAACTAAAACTGTGTACATCTGTGCTGGGAAAATCTATACAGCACTGCATTATAGCATGCAAATATCACTTTTACAAAACTGATTGCCTATGACTCAGGCATATTCATAAAATTGAGGTAAACCTTTTTGCCTTGTTTAACTGTTCTAAATATGAAAATGTTGTTTTTGAGGTGTAGTTGTGGATGACATGTAAACATGTGGACAGACATATAGGCAGATACTTCATGTTTCAACACCTTGTTAAATACTTGTATGTGGTGCTCACCACAGAGAATCAACACTTCATGTTTGCTGTTGTCAGTAATAATCTGAGGTTTTTCTGTTGCTTCTACTCAACCAGAACTTAAAAGGATGGTGCTCACAAGTAGCTTTGAAATATTAAAACTTTATCAAGTTATATATGTTAATATTTATGAAATAACTGAATTGTAGCAATGGGCATGAGCTAAGCTACACTTATGGTAAGAATGCATATATTTATATTTAGGCATGTAAACACCTCTCCCCATGTTGAGTCTTCAAGGTAGCCACGCAAGGGGAACTTTCATTAGGTGTTTCTAATTCCATTTGTGAGAAAAGATAAACTGTGCATTTCTATAAGACAAAGAAGGCTCAAATAGGAAGATGAGGTTGAAGTTGACTGTCTCTTCCATATGCCTTTGTTTTCTTAATATCAGGATATTGTCAAGGGACAGTCTTCTAGACTGGTATCCTATCTTAATACACATGGTTGACAGCTTTGTTCCTAATTCAGGTTCCAAACTTTCTGTGCAGTGACAGAGCTGGCAGTGCTGCTTTCTAAACATCTTTCCAGATCCTCTGTGCTGTGTGATGCTTGGCTCTACGCTGGGCTTTCAAGGAGAGTGTATTTTTTAAAATAAAGCAGTATTTTTAATAAACTCAGCTCTCAACAAATGTCGCTCACATTTAGGAGCAAGCTGATGTGCTAAATACACCAGACAAGCTTTACCAACTAGATTAGCTGTAAAATGCAAACTGTCCAAAATAAATGTCGTACATTTCTAAGTGTTTTGGAATTTTCTTTTTAAAGGAATGTCCAAGGATTTTTATGTAAAAGCAGTGACAATGACATTGACTTTTTCCCATAGCATGCCTAAATAGGAATATGTAGCAGAACACAGAATTAAAATCTCTCTCTTTAATAGTGGGAAGAAGAAAATCTTTCCAATCCCCATCATTTCTTTTAAAGATAAACTTTTTCACATCCTCACATCCCCACTATTCTGCATGGAGGTCCTCAGCATCTTTTGGAGTGCGGGAGTAGATTCCCATGCAAGCAAATAAGTAAAAGGTGCAGAAAAAAAAGTTCTGATATGGGAGAAGGATTTAGAAATACTGGAGGAGCATGTGAAGAGGTGAGTTACATAAGGAAGTGCAAAGAGGGTATTTTGAGGCTTGAAAGGAACACTAAGAGCACTTTTTCAGTCAATGGCTTAGGTTTAGGTTTTTAGGTTTGTCATACTGTTACGTGATCTCTTTCTGTAGAAAAAGCCTGTTTTATAGGGAAGTTCAGATTAGGAAGAATTCAGATTTCTGGTGGTAGCTGAGATTTGCAGGGTGGTGCAGCAGCATTTTGATAAAACGGACCGCTCTGAATACTCAAAAGCTTTACCTTCTGGTGGTTTTTTTGTTTGTTTTGTTTTGTTTTTTTCCTCCAGCTTCTGCTTGCAGAAAAGGACTAGCATTGAACACCAGGTGAGGAATCCAGAGTCTTGCGTCCAAGTATGGGGCAAAGGAAAGAAGCAGCGGTGACTTCAGACTACCACACTCCTATAACATCCAGGGCAGGGTGAACTGAGGAGTCCCTGCTGAGAGGACAAGCTACAGAGGAGAGTACCTGAACATCTGTGGAAGCTGGAGGTGCAGCTGTAAGCTGATGACTGTCTCTGATAACTTCTGCTGCTGAGCCTGGGGGTCTCTTCCAACTCTTCTGATCACTAACTGTGAGATCTTTTTATAGCACAGAGGTTCTCCACCTGTCTGTATTGTTTCTCTCAAGGTCCAAGTTTGAATGTAAAGATTTCTCATTTGCGCAGCCATTTCAGTCTGTCTTAGTCTGGTAACAGCCAGTATTCTTTGCTATCATCACAGCAACCAGCAGCAGAGAAAAATATTACACTATATGAGTAGAGACATCCTTACAGTTGCCATCTTGAATTTTGGCACAGAGCCATGGAAATGCTCAGTTTGAATAAAGTAATTTCATTTGTTTGTTTTGATTATAATTTCAGTTATTAATTCACACCCCCAAAATATTTGCTCTTAGATGGGATTTTAAATCTGTCTTTGTTTCACTGTTGGATGCTTATATTTGTGTGGTTTATTTTTGTATTTTGATTTCTGTTTGTTTAGGCTATATAAACTTCTTTAATTGGCTGATTGTTTCAGACCCAAGGTTGAACTCTGAGGCCCAGGTGGCTCCTATCAGTTGCAGTAGTGGCTTGGTGAAGCACTTCAGTTAGAATTTTCCTAATGTTATGAAAATTAATTTGCTTGTGTTAGAAAACAACATCAGCAGCTGGAAAATATATTGGAGAGAAGATCCACCCTTGCTTAAAACAAACAGGAAGCAGCTTCAGCTCTTTGCTCATGCCAGGTTAAAGGAAAACTTGCCTGTTTTCATGGTATTTTCCAGCTTTTCCCTTGCAATCAGTATGATTGTGGTTCTCAAAGAGTATAGTATTTCCTGTTGTTTGCATCAGAGCCCTCAGAGGTTGCATTTTATGAGCCAGTTTGATCTGTTTTCTTATTCCACAGCTCCCTTGTCATTTCTACGCTGTATAATCAGTGTTAAGAGATCATTCTTGTATGTTGACAGATTAGATAATGATCAATCCAAAAGGCTGACAGAAACAGTGTCAGAGAGAAGTGTTTTCTCGTGGAAGATTGTGTTCATATTCACTCTTGTGTTGCGCATACTTCTTGTCATTAAAGACCAGATAAATTGTAAAAAGATTAAATAATTATTTTCATTGCCCATTAGCTTAACTATCATTTGCTCCAGGCATAAACTCATAGGAAAGAACATGCATTTTTCTATTTCTGTTCCATTCATGCATGTGACAGAAATTAAATACTTAATTTATCCAAAGTCTTACTTCATTGGCTTATGTTCCTAGGCAGTCATGATTCTGTTTGCTTTCCTTGCATCTTTCATCCATGTTCTTCAAGTATTACTGCATTGTTTGTCCACTGCTTTTTCCACTATCCTCAGTGTGACCAGGAGTTCTGAAAAATCTTGTGATGTTACTTTCAGATAAAGTCTCTTCTGTACTCTTCCAATTACACTCAGGGATCTCTGAGATAGATGTTTCTAATGTTCTAACATGTGTTACATTGTTGATTCATCATTAGTGAAAATTCAGTTGCAGAATTTCTTATTTCGTACTACTGCATCCCAGGCTGCTGTGGGCTTCAAAGTCTTGGGTCTGTCTTCTGATAGCCTACTCTGCCACATTTGGTGTTGACTGTAGCCTCCAGCTCTGTTTCAGAACTATCTAAAGAGCAGTTTCCCTACAAGATCTAGCTTCAGTAGATAACTGATTTTTATTCCTTGCTTCCTCCTAGGGAATCCAAGTTATCCTTATTCTACTGGGTATCATGCGCAGGACTGAGTAGCTGTAGCATATGCATCCTTGTGGAATTCTAATTTCATCTGGTTTCGTCATCTGGTTTCTTCATTCAGGTGATTACAGCCACCACTGAACCTGTTCAGTTTTAGAAGATAAATACTTTAAAGCACAGCTGGCCCAGGAAAGGTGATTATCTTCAGAGGATCTTTAACAGAAACAGCATTCTGTAATTGATAATTCTGGCAAATCTGTGCTTATTATGAAAGTAGATGAGTTTTTTGTCAGTTTTTGCCAGTCTCCTACCTGCTGATTTCCAGCTAACGCTGTACTCAGTTATAGCCAGCACGTTTTCTGATCTTCTTTGCACTACATGTTAAACATAGCCAACAATACATCTGTAACTGTGATGACTTAGTAAAAATATATGAGACATCTTGTCTCTAAGATTTTTGAAATGTCCTGAGAAATGCGTGTTGCAGTAGGAGACCTTCCTTTGGAAGGGACTGGTTTTAGGAGCTGTGAAGTCTTACATCCTTTGTTCTTGAATTTTTTTTCTTCTGTTTCTAACAAATAAAAAATCTGGAGGTATCAAGACTTGTCCTTTATTTCGCAGCAAACACTTAGATTTTGAACTCCTCTTCAGCCTCTGGATATGTTAGGGCAGCCAGAGGAAATGTCAGTGACTTTGCTTTGTGCATCTGCTGCTCCCAGCTCTGAGTGCTACTGCTGTTACCTGAGGAGCACAAGCAATAATACAGCAGAGAATCAGGAACAGATCCTACAGTTCTAGCCTCTTACTTTCTCTACTTCCATGTAATCTTCAGCCTTGAGTCCTTCTGTGTATTTGTGCAAACTGGATGCTGTGGGCCAAACGTAACATCCTTAATTTGTCTCTTTGCAGGTCTGCTATTTCCATGTCTGTCAAAAACCTCTCTTAAAGTGCTTCAGTCAAGAAATTCAGTAGAGTGGCATGAAGCTGTTTTTTTAGCATCTTGGAATGAGTGCGTTTTCCAGAAAGTGTTTTCTTGTACAAGAAAGGAAAGGAGAATGGCAAAACATTTTGGATTTATAGTAGTTGAACATGAGGGGAGTACAATTATATGTATACTCCTCATGTGGAGCTTACTTTGACTCTCTTTGTTTTTATGACATTAACTCTCCTATGCTCACCAATGAGTTTCATTGAAAGTGCTCTTGTTTACTGTTAGAAAATTGCCAGTACAAAGCCCACAGTAATCATTCCACAACTCGTTTAGTGGTGAGACCGAATGATGTTACCAGGGGATCCTCTTCTCTCCTACTTGGTGATGTTTCCATCACTTCTACGTTAAGGAGTCTGTTTTATGACAGTCTTTCTTGTTTTGAACAGGTGCATGCCAGAGTCCTGAAAGGTGAGGTAATATGGAGCTTATACAGACATTTTGTGCTGTATTCAGGTGATGAGCACGCTACAACATTAAGAGAGAGATGTGAGATTCCTTCCAAGAAACATAGGGTTGCTTAATTAAACTTCCAAAGACTTTTTCCCTTTCATCCCTACATTTGCTTCTCATTGTAATCCTGGGCTTACTGTTTGAACTTGTATGGGTTATTTGGTGCTATTTAAATAGTTGGATTTTTTTTTTTTTTTTCCCAGTAACTGGCTGATTGATCCTGTTCATACAGTTTCCTTTGGGCACACGCTATTCCTGTGAATCTGTCATGCATTTTTCCAAAAAGAAATCTCTGAGCTTTCTTTAAACGTGGGACTTGACCTATTATTCTTCTTTCTAGAACCTCATGTTTCTAGAGTTAAGATATTCTTGCTTATGTTAAACATCAAAAGGATCTAATTTCTACAGAATTGGGTCTGCCAGACAGTCCTTGAGATTGGTTATAACAAGAACACAAAACTTAGTGTTCAGTTTTATTAATGCAGAAACTCTTAAACTGGAAAAAAGATGAGTAAGGAGAAATGTAAGGGAGAACGTGAAAAGCAAATAATTGTTCCAGTTTTGAATCAAATGAAACTAGCAGATAACAGATTCAAAGCAAAGGGGAATAGAACTGCTTTCTTTTCACAGTATTTAATTTACCTGTGGAACTTCTTGTCACAAGATAGTGTGAAGACAAAAGCATGTTTGTGGTTTGAAAAGGCAAGTAGACAAATTCATGGAAAATAAGTCTATTAAGGTATATTAAATATTATAATCAAAAAACAAGCGGAAAGTTTCTAAGCCTTTTCAGGTGATTGTTCAGGGGAAATCTCATGATGGGTTTTTCCAATTCTTAGCTTGTCTGTCAGGTATAAGCTGCTGACTACTTGTCTCAAAGAAGAGGTGGGCCATAGATGGTCTTGTAGTCTGACTTTGTATGAGTGTTTCATTTGGTCAGTCACAGTACAGCCTGCTAGAGCAGCCAAAGTAAAGCTGCCTTTCATGACAGTGGCATGTTCCACCAGAATTCACTGGTGTTGGTGGTGTTGGGTTCTCTAAGGAAGGCCTTAATTGCTGACATTTACCAAGATTGTCCGCACCTCCACCTAGACAAGTTCTGTGTATGCTGCAGAGGCCTTCAAAATGTTGAAGCTTTTACAAGTGCATAAGATCCACCTCTAGACCAACCAATCACTTGTGATTTTAGAGGAAAGTGGGTTGTAGTTTGGAAGTCATCCATAATATGATATGTGTGAATGGTTATTCACTTAAATATGGAAAAGAAAGTTACTTATCACTAACAGAAGCTCTTACATTATGTTGTACATGCACACATTTGCTTCTTGCCATCTTTGTCTTCTAAAATGCCTGAGTGCAGAGCACCTTCAGGGTGAATGTGCACAACCACAGCGCACCTTAAACAATTACAATACTTGGTAGCTTTTCTTCTGACATTAGAACCCAACTGCCCTTTCCAGAAAATGAGATTGAGTTTCCATGCTGCTTTAAAGATGAGTAGTTAAGAAACAGAAGCAGGTCATCTCCAAACTTACTGGATTCTGTGCAGTTTCACCACAAAGGACAAACTCCCCTGAACAAAAGGTGGCAAATGAGGCACCATGAGGAGTCTGCTCTGTCTGTTACCTTACCAAAAAAGGATTTTATTGGCCTTCATTGAAAATGAGTATTCACTGCTGTTTCCAATTTAAAGGAAAGAATCACTGATGACTGTGGACACCCTGGTGTGAAGTCTTTACCAGTGGTATTCAGTGAATCATAATCATTCCCTAGGGAAAATAGTATACTTAACAGGGCCTCTTCTTTAAAAGTCCGTGCCTACAGTGCACACAGTGAACTTGAGAAATTTTACATTCTTTACAAGGGGATTGCTTCTTATCTGACCTATTAGTTAAAAAAAAAAAAAGTGTTGAAGAACGAATCTGATGCAATTATTAAGAATTTTGGGGAAGTTCACAATCTATTTTCATCATTTATTTGGGACAGCTGCAGTTGGTATCATCTCTAAAAGGAATTTCACATTGTATGTGGCTTTTTGCCTATGTGTTGTGAGTACTACCATGTTAAAATTCATGAGACAATCTTTGAAAAGTTCCTTTACCACCAAGTCCAAATGTTTGGCTGTCATTGCTCTGTCATTCCACTATAGAGAAAAACTACCGTTATGTTCATACTGAAGAAGAAAAATGAGAAGGGATTTTTCCCTGCTGTTTCTGTTCA